AGGCAATAACTGAAACTGCAGGTATACCAAGCATGTAGACTCCGATTCAGAGCTCCCAACAGGGCTATCAGCTTCAAGACGAAACAAGAGTACTCAAGTGAGTAAAAGTAATCCCTGTATTAACCATCCTGCTTATTCTGAGATCTACATTGTTCACTGGTGTGCCCCGGCCAAACTGATGCTAAGGCTGCCCTGGAATCTCAGCAGACTGGGCTCTCCCCGCACGTTTAACCAAGATGAGTTTTGTCTCCCCCTTTCAGCCAGCAGTTTGTCAGCATCACTCTGTGTTTGAAAAATAGCCTCCGAGTTCTTTCCTATTCAATCCAGTCTCATTTCCCTCCTCAGGAAAAGAGAATTCAGCTATTACTTCTTGCGCGCATAGCTGCCCTATTGCATTTTACACACCTTGTCAATACAGAGGCAACAGGATGGCAGGGTACCCAAGCAATGAGGCAAGCAAAGGAAGACTGGGAAGTTAAAAGTGGTGTCTGTGCTTCCACCGTAGCCACCTTCCGTACAAAGCCTTTACCCTTTTCACTCCTCTATGTTCTGCCTTTGCACACACAGTGAACCACATCGGAAGCAAGTGTTCACTTGTCAGATTGCCTTGACGTTTGACAGTGACAGTTCCCCTTATAGATCTGCAAACCAACTCTTTATGTAAGTCCTTAAAGAGGTGTGCATCAAAGACAGCGTGTGCACACTGGCTGTTAATTTAACAGGTTGCAGAAAAGCTGTTGATTTTATTACCGTATTACCAATCCAACAGGACACCAATAAAAGTTTTATTTTGCAGCAAGAAGTGCCAGCCCTGTAGCTGGCAACATTCTCAAGCTGTGTCAAGATGCTTCTGGTTTTGTTTGCTGTCAGGTATCTTGGGTATTCTCTTTCAAGAGATAAAGCCTACCAACTTGGGGATGCTCTTCAATGAGCTACCGCTGGTGTTTGGGTTTCCATTTGATAATTTTGACAGAAAATAGCAACACAGATGAGACCTGGAAGCAGAGACAATTCTGTACTCTGCAAGGCTGGGCCCTGAGGATATAGACAGTATCTGTCTAAAGGCAGCCTTTTGGCCAGGACTATTTTGAGCTCAGACACATAACACCGCTGTGATACTGGAAAGAGTTTGTCTGTTTTAACTTCCTTACCAATCATCTTGGACCCAAATAATTTATATATGAATTACTAAGAAATCCGAACACTCCTTTTTGAGAAAGTAGAGGAATCTGAAACCAGAAAAAGCTTCAAACACTGCCAGACTTGATGTAGTTGTAACACAGGAGCAGATCGATTGCCTTTTCAGTCCAGGATTCTATCAAGAATGTGACCAGCACCACATTCAAGCCACAACAGTAGAAACACTTTACCTGAAGCACAGTGAATAATCAAGCACAGATTGCTCTCTCTGAGCACTCTTCTTGCTCTCTCTTCTTCACTCAAGTCTTCATTCCTAAGTATTTCCAGAGGATGGAGTTGAACGTTGCCAGATACAGCAGCAGCAAAACCATATGTAGACACGACCCAAAAAATAAGCAGTGTGAATGGGAATTTTCTTCCTAACCTCTATGGAAAAAGATTGCCTTTACATCTCAAAGCAGAGCGCTCTGCATGTCCCTGCTTAAGGTAAATGTAAATATTTAATGTAAAATTAGGTATTATTATTTGTCCACAAACATGTCTTACCAACTTAGAAAATGTACTGAGCTCCTGCTCTCAGCCGTACCTTGAAGCCATAGGGTCTATCAAATAAAAGGATTTCCACTCTTTTCATTTTAAATTGATTGGCTTCAAATGCTTTGGTTGGAATTGTGTCTTTAGGCACACAAAAAGAAAAAGCCCATGATTTAATTTCTCTACACTGTTTGTTCATTTGTACAAGTGTCTCCAAATCATCTCCTCTTCAAATTTGACCAGTCTTTCTGTTTACCAAAAGACTTTCTTTGTCTGAAACAATTGTCATTGCCTTTCTAAAGGCCTCATTTCCTTACTCTCATTCAGGATCTAGCCAGAGACAAGGGTAAACAGCACGATGTACACAGGGCCAAGCAATGACATCCTGATTTGCCACTGCTTAATTCCAAGTTGGCAAAGCTGCTTCCCAGCAACGTTTGTTTATTTTAATAGATATCTTTAATGGATTGTTACAAAGGGAGTCAATGCAGTTCTCGGACATCTCACGGGTGGGCTGGCCTAGACACACCAGTCAAGCATTATGCAGAATGCAAAGTCTGTGCCGTGGCCTAGCACATCTAATGTACCAGCAACGGGAACAGAATACGAACCTGTCAAGTGCCGCAATAACTATAACGCATTACATCCCACAAAAAAATAATCAGAAACTAAACTCCCGGTGAGGAATCTGTAATGCTGTTTTCCACAGCATTTAATTAAAAGAATAAAAAAGAGCAAACAAGCGAGAGCGAGCTGTGAAGTCTGAGGTGCGCCCTGCTGCCTACACACTCGCACACAGAGGGTCTCAAAATCACTGGAACATCCTTCAAGTTGATGAGCTCATCTGTTGCATCAATAGGGATTGCCAATAAATACTGATACGGTTTCATTGGAATTCAGTGCTCATTTATAGATGCAGTCATTTATATTTGCAGCATGGCACTGGGATTAACCCTTTCATTGAAGCTGTAATTCCAATTAATGCAAATTGGTTAGACACATACAGCATGTAGATAATAAGCCCTACTACAGTAACAGTATACCTTGGTCAGGAAAACCAAGCACATCTTTCATCTTCATTTAGCTTTGAAGGGGTTACATTACAGTAGCTCCTATTGCATCCCTGTTATTGAAGCCTCACCAAAAATTAAATGCCACCAGCAGTGCTACTGAAATATGCTCTAAAGTTTACATGCAAACTACAAAAGCTTGTAAAGTGCCAGGGGAGTTCTCTGGTTTAATTATATAGACCCTGTTCCATAAATTGCTTGAACGGAATAAATACAAATAGTATTCCCTGCTTTGTGACCTCTTTGGGTTAACGAAATGCACACAAACACCCACAGTCTGCTATGGCTCAGAAATTCCACAGCATAAACACATAACCTCGCTGGAAGCTGTAGTCAAGATTCAATCCTTAGTACATACATGAGAACCAGCTGTCTGGACTCAGCAAGGAAATAATTTGTTGTTTATATTCTACTACTATTCTAAGCTGCAGACGGTGGGAATTGTCTGCGATTTACTGAACAGGGAGAAAAGAGAGTCTGAGATTTTTGTTGTTCAGGCTCTAATTAGCAAATCTGGTTCTCCTATCCGAAGAGGTGTGTGAGGTAAGAGAGGCTGAGGAATTCCATGAATCAAAAAGCAACCCACCCTTGGCTTTGGGAAATGTAAGATTCGCTCTACCTGGTGACACTCACCCTCATCCTCTGGATGTACTTGGGAATAAAGATTTGAGTGAAGAAGAGAAAGCAAGAAGAGTGTTTACAGAGAGGAATCTGTACTTTATTATTCACTCTCCTGCATGTATATCATTTCTATTGCCACGACATGAAGGAGAACTTGATCCTACTGAAGACAAATTACCGAGATGCCAGCCAGTTCCTGTTCATGTGGCCAGTACACAATTTTCTCACATTTTCTTCACTTTCTCCAAACATGCCATCTCTCCTATGACATACAAAGAACTGCTAGTTGTAGTGTCTGGCCATGGCATCCAACAGACATCTCCAGGAGTCTGCTGAAGTTTCATTCACTAAACATTTAAACTACAGGTGTGAGCACAGGCCTCTGGAAGCGTTAGAACTAACAGCATTGCACCATCTCAACAGAGAACTGTTTTCAGGATTCAGGGATGGTACCTTAAAACCAGCAGTTATTCTCCCCTCTGGACACTGAGCTTTTTTTTCTTGCCATGTGTGGCAGTTAGTCCAGAACCCTCCTAAGGTCAAGTAATACAACTGTTTTGGGGATATTTTCCCAGTTTTACTAAGGATCCCAGGTGCTGTCTCATACTTACTCTCACTTGCTTTATTTGTTGTTTGCTGGTTGTTTTTTCTGAAGTTGCAGAACTCAAAAACGTTTGTCCTGTTACGTACAGAAACAATACCGCAGTAATCCACACGCAGCACACAGCTGTAGGTCTGGAGAAAGAGAACCCCTCCGGTTCCTGCTTGTAGAGTTCCCTCCTGTACTGAACACCTCCAAACCCCTCATCCTTCTCATCAATGAGACTCAGCCCAGGGGGATCAGTGGGAGGCAGGTATGATTTTAAGTGCCAGTTGTGTTTGCCACCGAGGAGGAGAAAGTTCTCCCGCTGACCTGTAAACATGGGCTGTTGACATCTGAACCAAGGTAAAGATGGCACTTAACAGCTTGCTGACTCTAATGTCACACCTCGGTTCTCTAATGCATCAGCCCAACTGTGCTAGCTGGAAGGTAATGCAAAAGAAAAACGGCGCCTATCAAGCCACAACCCACCCTCAGCCCACCTAGCTAGACCAATAAAGGTATCAGACTGACAGAAGACAGACTGTTATTGCTACTCATCTGTGCTGTTCACATAAATGGCACTTCACACACACAAGGATGAGTTGCTGCTCAAAAGGGATTCCAATTTACATAAAGACAAGATGATGACACGCAGACAAGCTAGAGGATAGCAAAGACAGAAAGGACGTATATCTCGTAGTGAAGTAAGGGTGAAACCTTGATGGTTACATAAGGTTTTATTGCCACGGCATATATAACTGATAATATAAAAAGGTGAAGTGCAAGGCCAGATGTCTTAGGTATTATGCACATATAGTCTCTTCTCTTTACTTCTGACTTTGATATATAAGTGAGAGATCAGATGTCAAACCTTCTAAGGTAATTTTTTAAAAGAAGAAAGGATCTTTACTTCCCTTATAAGGAACACCCGGTCATATAGCGGGGGGGCAGTGATTTTCCAGTCTAATCACTGAGAAAGAGTAAATATGTTCTGGCATGCTGAAAACCATGAACCCAAAGAAGCAGGTGCAGCGAGGGGTGCACAGACCTACCTTAAAAAGCAGGCAGTCCCCTTGGTGCTCAGCGTAAATGGAGGTGAGTCGATACTGATTCTCAGTCGTGATGTCGATCTGGTACCCCGTTAGCGTGTAGCAAACCTTGCGAAACTCCTGGATCTTGGTCTGGAAAACTTCTTTCAGACGCTGATTTTTTAGTTCTGCACTTTCCACTTGCTTCTTCAGCTCTGTGTAGGGGAAGAAAACGGGTACCTTCTTATACGTCATCAGCACAGAGCCCTTGCACCGTATTTACAGTGCTAGCCAAACTAAGTGAATTGAAAAGGTTAATTAAATTTTTAAAAAGTGAATTAAGCAGGCAGAGTAAAGGAACAGACAAGCTAGATTCCTCTCCTTCTGGCCCCAGCAGACCAAAAGATAATAAACTGGGGAAGAAGGAAAACAGACATGTCTTGGTGGGATGGATTTTTCTTTTGCTCAGCCAGCCTTTTAACAACGTACTACAAAATTCAAAGCTATAGCATCCATTTCCCCACATGCACACATCTTATCTTCTACATGGAACCCAAGAGAAGGGTGTTACGCTACACGAAGCAAGAAAGTGGAAAAAATGGCAAGAAATACGCCTCTGTATGGTTGCATCAGGAGGAAGTTGCCTATAAATAAAGGACGTACTCTTGATTTGACTGTAAGTGCTTTGATCTCAAATTGACACACTGCTTAGGCATCCCTCAAGATTCAGAAAGGCGCTTTTATTGTGATAAAAAGCCTGAAGAGTACCACTGCCTCTTTGCATTTGCTACCTTAACTGGACTAGTCCCTACAAGAGAGGTCCGGTGAGACTGCCTGCCACTCACCCTGTATTTTATTGCTACAAAGGGAGCTGCCAGTACTGTGAATCCTTCAAGAGGATACACAACAATTACCATGAATCTTTCACCCAAGGTGCCTTCTGAGTAATTAAACCTCGATTTATCCCCCCATTAATTACAGAGATTGGCTTTACTTTAATATACACTAGAGATGTCTCCCAAGTCAGCCTGTTTCATCAACACTGCAGTTCAGGGTTAGAAAAAAACCCTGACTCTTTCTAACAGCAAACAAATAGACTTCCTCACTTGGATACCTTTTTGTCACTCTGAGGTTTAAGGCTTTGTCTGTGCTGTGATCAGAGACATAACTGCAGCGCATGTAGGCCATGTGTCTTTATTTTAGCTAGTTCAGAGTCCAGCAGCAGGATAGCAAAAACTTCAGCGCAAGCTGACTGCTTCAGTATAAAGGAAGGTTTTTGGCTGGGTTTATGCATGGCTTTAGCTACAGCACTATTGTTTCCCAAGCGAGGTGGAAAAGTTTTTGCTTGAGTATTTGCTGAAAAGTGTTTCCATCGGCCTCCCAAGCGCAGTGTAGGGAGAACGCAGGATGGTAACTGCAAGGCCATGGACTTGCCTGTGATTCACCTCTGAGCCGCTGCAAGTGCACCAGAAGAATCCAAGTCTCCTTTTATCTTCTGTACTGCTTTAGTTAGGTGCTCCGGGTGGGACAAAAGGATTATTCAGTGTGTTAAGTTAAAGTGCCTTAAATGCCACTGAGGATGCCCCTACTCAGAAGTACTTTGGCCTTAATCCAATTCAGCTTAATCCCCAGGCAAGGACAGGAACTCTTTAATGGTTAAAGAGAACTACATGTCCCTTTACTTCTGTGTGAGAGCATCCACGCAGGGAGAGTTAACACTGGCCAACCCCTTACCTTAATTTAATTCAGTTCCGCCTTCCTGAGCGGCTTGTGGAGATGATGTACGAGCAAAGTATTTCCTTTACGCCGGGTCTCCCCCCAGCTGTATCTCGCTTTACCAAGGGGAGCAAGCCAGTCTCAGAGCACATCACCAGTTTGTTCATTAAAACACTGCTATACAGGGAACCCCCCAACTGCTGGGGGATGTAAGGTGAGTATCCAAACCCTGCTCACAATCCCAAAGGGTCGTGACTTACACACTGCCCCTTCTCACGAGCTTGAAAAGGCTGTGTCTTTCTCGACCACCCACCTTCCCATCCATACTAAACTCATCACTGCATGATTAACTCAACCCTTCCTTGGATTGTTACAACCTTTTTCCCATCATTTCAGCTGGGTCTGGTCTTTGATTAATCAAGTAATCAGCCTCTGAAATCAGGAGGTTAATTGGCAGCTCTGACCTCAATATTCTCACAGTCTTCATTCAGCTATGCAACTGTTAAGGACAAACTCCTATATATGAAAGTAAAAATTCAGTGACCACATTGCAGTAGTAAATAACATTTCACCACTGTCAGAGACAGCACTGCCTTTAATATATTGCACACGTCCAACAGCGATATTTTTTTTCCTAATAAATGCAGTCTAGCCTTGGAAAAGTAAATCTGCCTTTTCCTACCGCATCTTGGAGGCTGCCTTTCCTGACTTTTATAACCTTGGAGGTCGATGGCACCCTAATTCATGAACTCCTTGAACAGCTTTCGTTATTCATGAAGAGTTAGCACCTTTTCCATTGTTTTGTCTCTCAGTGCGGTACTGCTAACGGCCATCACGAGCACCCGTCGTGTCGCAGCCTCATCACCCACCCAACAGCACTAGATAGACTACAACCACGTGAATCTAGAACAGCAACCAAGTGATGGCAACTGCTTTCCTCCACTACCCTCAGGGTGAAAAAGGAAAAACTCTGACTATAATCAGTCTTTTATGCAAGAAATCCTGAGCTTTTCAATGTAACTGAAGGACTAGCAAGCCTTCACTCCTGACAGCGTGCCCGAACCTCCTCCCTGCCGTTCCTCCTGGCCTTCTTTCCAGTGCCTGCGGCAGTTTCGGTGTATTACCGTGTCAGCCGTCCTGGCTGAAGGAATTCATCCGCATAAAAAAAAAAACAACAACTTATCTCCTTGTTAGAGATGCCTTGTGTCAGCCACTGGCACAAGGTGCTGCACTCGGTAACTGCTAATATAGATGCAGCTCAATGTGCCAGCACCAGCCAAGGAGGGGATAAAGCCTTGTCATTCCCCCCCAGCTCTGTTAGCAATTCCCCAACAGTGTTTCTTTAGCTTGGGGACAGGGCAGAAAAAACCAATCAGGCATAGGGACGTGATAGGAATGCTTAAGTTTGCAACTCCCCCCAGGGAAAGGTCCATTGAACCCTGAGACTGTAAAATAGAGATTGCTCTTCCTTTACGCCCAGTTAAATTGCAGCCCTCAATAGTTCTGCTATAGCAACTGCTGATGCCTACCTCCTGCAGTATTTATCCCGTAGAAACATTTCAACAAGGGGCTATTCCCGGATTAACTCAGGACAGCGCTCAGGACTGTGACTACTCCCTTGCTTTCCATTGAGGGCTCTGCTGAGTCAACCAAGAAGTCACACTGTGAGGACTCAAGGAAGAGTAACTTGATAGGAAGGTAACGTGAGACTTGAGAAACGCAGGATGGGATCCCACTGCTGAAATAAAGCCATTTGAGAAGCCCTAGGATATTTTTCAGTTTCCCACCACACTTCGGCAGGAAAGAGATTTCCTGCAGGTTGTGTGTCATACCAGCCAGCCCCAGGCCAACATCTCAGATACTTTGGGGTGCCTAAAATGGCACAGGATGCCTATTTTTAGGCACTGGGTACCTATGTAGCCTCTCTGCACCATGGCTTTGCCTGCGTACGGCCCTGGCACTGCAGATTCCCTGAGAACAGCACAAGCAGCATATGCATTGACTTGGGGACAGTAATTAATCTTTCTAATATTTCGCCCTCCAAGTGAAGATGTTAAGCTAAGAGGCAGCTCATTGTTTGCTCCGTGTCTGAATTCAAAGATGTGACGGTGCTAATTCTTAAGCCTCACCTAATACTGCTAATTCCCGCCAAATTTCTAGCAGAGTCAGGAAAAATTGACTTAAAAGTCATCATTTGCAGAGAGTACAATTCAGCGTATTTCAGAGCAATGTTTAAGGCACAGCTGTAGAGGCCAATGAACAGAGGGAGAGCCTTTCAGGATGGGTTGAGGGGCATTAACAGAGCAGGTTTCTGATGACAGCATTACTGTTTCCACCCGTTTTATCTACCACCTACAGGACACTGAACATCTTGATCCTGTAAGAATTTTCACAATGTTTGGAGAATTAGGTTTAATTACATCGTTAAAAGACAATGTTTAAAAACTAGAATCCTTATATTTAGAGTACCTGTTTGAGTTCCTGCATTTGACTCTGTTACACTTGCACAAAACAGGCGAAAGAAGTTGCAGGTGCCCTGCAGAAGCCATGGATGGGGAAAGTCACACCATAAATATCCTCCAACCCAGAGAAGAGATGTCAAAGCATCCCTCACTGAAGTGTTAATGAAACAAATAAGAACCGAGAAAATAAGCGTGAGATTTGGCAGGCTATGCCTCGGTCAGGGATAATGACTGGCTGTTTTCTTTGCCTGGTTAAAAAAAAAAAAATAAAAAAAAAAAAGAGGAGAACAGAGAGAACAGGAAAATACACGGAAATCATACTTCTCCATCTCCTTTGTAGCCAGGCCAAGAGTATGTACAAATAGTTTCCTGTCCTGAAGAGTTTGATGGGGAAAAAAAAAAATCCTCATTGAAAAAAATCATTAATCTGTTACAAAATTAGTATTGCCAAATGATTAACTTCCCCCCTAATGATGCTGCTTCTTGAACACCTTGTATTTTCACACACTTATATCGACTTTAATGAATAATTCAAACTATTTTTGATAAATAAATAAAATATGAGTTGGGCTTTTTTGGTCTCATATTGAAAATGTCACTGCTTTTTATTCCATTGTTTTTACACTCCTTACATCTGAAAATGTTTGCAGCTGCCTGGAAATACCACAGCTTTGGCTCTTGCTCTGAGTTCAGCTAGGTCAATCAATAGCAATAGCAGTCTCTACACCAAAGAAAACCACATCCACGCTTAACCTTTTCCCCAGGGAA